CTACAATATTTCAGATACGTCATATGTGCAGGTGGATAACAAAGGAAAGAAATTCTCCCAGATTTGGGATCTCTTGGGGGAGGAAAAGGAACTCTCACAGTGAAAGGGGATATTTTGTTCTTTTCCTTAGCAGCAGATTGGCTCCAATGGGAAAGATCCCCCCAATACTGAAAGGTCTGCCTGGCACTGGCCAATTTCTTTTGATACAATCCCTGCCCTTTTCTGTCTTATCCTTCTTTGCATGACTAGATGTCAGCATGAGGGCATACAACTTCTGTTCTCTGGGATAATACTCTAGGATTTCTGTCTTCATAATTCAGGTATGGAGACATCCCACCTTAGAAAACCAGGATCTTGCCCTTTTGTTATTCATATCCTGGGTCATCTTTTACTTGTGCATTCATAGACCTAAATCTAGGGATTAGAATGGAAGTGGATGGCTGAAAATCCTTGGATAATACCAGATACTAAATGGAATTTCATTTTCCCAGTGGTATTTCACTCCTGACAGCACTAGTCTGTGTGCATGTTATTCCACCTCTAATATTACTGTTGTGGAGCATTCTGCAGCTGTGTTGAAGTTATTCATTTATGTGGTTTGGGCCAGTTTCTGAGAAACAGGCAGAGCTAGAGAGCAGAAGAATCCATCAGTGTTAGATTTGAACAAAGAAAATTATGATCTTTATGGACTTGCTGTCTTCCAGAGTGCCAATATAGATATAAAAATAAAGGATAGAAATGGTAAAGATACAGGGTAGTTATAGAGAGCCCTAATTTTCAGGAAAGGAGCATGGAAGTGGGGAGAATTCCCCAAACTCATTGACTATAATAATGTCTATCCTTGGAGTTTTGTCTCATCAGTTTCCTTTATGCGTTATTTCTGTAGGATTTTTTTTCTTTTTCTAGTTTTAAAAAATATATATCAAAAATTTCTGAGAACAGAATATTTATCTCATTTGAGATGGGTTTTTTACACTTCTCAAAAAACAAGAGTATGTTTGGTCATCTTGGTAGTATTTGGAAATGCATATTTTGTTTGACATTATTTATATATTAGATTTTTTCCTCCTCAGAATAAGTGTAGAAATGCTTCCATATGTTTGAAGTTGGTTTCATCATTTTGCTAAGAAGAAAAAAGGAAGAATGTAGTTTATAGCAATTTTCATGTGAATACATATTTAATAATGGTGTTTCCTCAAAGTTAGCTAAAACAGCTTTTCTACTGCTTCAATATGGTACTAAAGTTAAGAAGATAATAATATTCGTTCCAAATTTTCAATTGTAACTGAGATATTCTTTAAATACAATGAAACTAAATTATATTACTATTTTGATTTCTTATACAAAATACAATCTTAGGTGAGGATATGACTTTAATTTTTTCCCCAAATAGCCACAAATCACATAGCATCATTAAAGAAATGATTCATTTTTTCATATATGAAATTCTTCTCCATATAATAAATTCTGACATATAACTTTTTAAAAATCTTCGTTGTTCCATAGATACCCTTACTAATTCCTAATCTTTTTGCCAGTTCCTAAGATCTCCTTTCTAATTCCTAGAAATGTTTTAATAATTGTGGGTTTATGGTATATTTTAATATATGGTAGTTCTAAATAAATGTCCCTTCATTTTCCAATTTTAAAGAATATTTTTGCCTTCTAGATGAATATTAGAATGATTTTGTAAAGTTTCAAAAATATCTGCTGGGATTTTTTTAAATTAGAATTTCATTAAACCCATAATTAGTTTAGGAAGAATAACTGAATTTCCTATGCAGAATCATGGTAGGTCTTTTCCTTTATTCAGTTTTAAAATATTTCTTTGTAAACTATAATATCCTATATAAGAATCTAGTATATTTTGGGCAGCCCAGGTGGCTCAGTGGTTTAGTGCCGCCTTTAGTCCAGGGTGTGATCCTGGGGACCCGGGGTCGAGTCCCACGTCGGGCTCCCTGCATGGAGCCTGCTTCTCCCTCTGCCTGTGTCTCTGCCTCTCTCTCTCTCCCTCTGTGTCTCTCATTAATAAATAAATAAAATCTTTAAAAAAGAATCTAGTATGTCTTATATTTGATTATAGATTTTATAAATTTTCTTTGGGGATGTGGGGTAGGATGTGAGGGGAGAAAATATTAGCCTTACTTTAAATGTTCCTAATTTTCGTTTTCCTATTCTTTTTATAATGCTACTTTAATAATGGAAAATTACTTAAGAACTTAATTATCAACCTATAGCAGAACAGACTATCTAATGCATATAAGGATCTCCATGAAGAACCAGTTTTCAACTTTTAAGACACCAAATTAGAAATGTTCTTAATTGCCTATCCAGAGCCTTTTAGCCAAGCAGAGCATTAGTGATTTTTTTCCTCCTTATTTTTTGTGAATGCATAGCTGTTATCATCAGTGACTATTTAACTTAAAGTTCTTTGAGGCATATTCAAGAGGATTGGAATACATTCACCAACATCAGCATCAAAAGTCTGTTCCAGGGTTGCCCATCTTGGGCAATGGCATTACTACAGTTAAAAGTTTGGGGTCCTCTCTTTTGCCCCCTGCCCAACTCAGATTCACTCACCAAGTCCCCATGAGTGCTCTACCAGTGTTACTAAATGGGTCTTTTTTCATTCTCATATTTCCAAGCCTCTCATCAATTTTATAGTCATCTCCTGCCAGTTTGTCCACACCAGTACCATTCACCTTTACCACAGTTAGAGTGATCTTCCTGACACTCAGATCTGATCCCCCTCATTTGTTTAAACATGGGATAAATCCAACAAATATACATGAAAAGAGCCAGCTGTATTTTGCAATATTATGTTGGGTGCTAGACTTGTACCTAGTTGTTAAGGGGTAAAGGCCAGACTTAGCATCACAGCCTAGCAGCTACTGACCTGATGTCTCCTGACATCCATTCAAGATAAACTCCTGAGAACACACTCACCTTGACTCTACCTTGCATTGCCTGCTCTTCATGAAAAAATCCTATCCTTCTTTCACTGCTAGATTCAGTGCCATGTGTGACGTGAAGCTTTTCTCAATGCTTTTCTCTCTTCTAACACTACAGAGGGTAGAGCTAACTGCTCCCTTGACTGCTGCCCCACAGCAGTTAGTTTGTACCAGTAGTACAGCACATAGAAACTCTGATAGCTGATTGTCTCCAGATATGTCTTCTTGGCTTTATGGTGGTTGTCTTATAGCAGAGGCCCTGATTTATTGTTTTGCTTGGTCATGCCCTGCTTCCCCAGGAGTGCTACTAGGAGGGGTGGCATGACTCCATAAAAATGGGCTGTTTGGGATGTCTGGAGCCACTTCTTCTCTAGCCATTAGGAAGGTTAATAATCTGTATAATGGAATCAACAATATCCACCTTACCAAACAAACCAGTTTTGAGAATTATAAGAAATAACATTGTAAATGGCTATAAATGGTACTAAGTAAGTCCTCAATATGTGTTATATTCCCTCCAATCTCCATTTACATTTTGGCCTTGCCCATCAAACCTTGATCACCCCTATGTTCCATTTCCATATTCTTGTTCCTGGACTCCTGAATGGTATAGGAGAAAAAGAGGCAAGACATAGACAAGAGCCAAGCTGTCTCCTCCTGCTATGTCCTTCTCCTGTCTTCCACATTTCTTCTTCTTCTTCCTTGTCCTCCTCCCCTTCTCTTCGTCCTCTCCCATTGTCTTTCCCCTACCCCACCCCCATTTCCCTCCTCTCCTTCTTGTTCATCTTCTTTTATAAACTTCACTGATGCTAAGCAGCAATCCTGGCATCCTCTCTCTTACTTCCAATCTTGCAAAAATTAAGTACTCTTCCACATCATGGCAAAGCAGATCCTCTGTTTGGGCAGCACATGGCAACCCCTTTGCCATGTGTCTGCCTGCAAGATTATTCTAGGAGAGGGTGTGTTAAGACCTAATTGACAAAATAGTATCTCCCTTCCTAATGGAAGAGTTCTTTGGTTATGAAGTACTGATGGAAGATTGTTTCTGTCTGAAGAAAAGTTCCCGTCCATGGTTTCAAGGTTGAAAGGAATGTCTTAAATAACTGAGATATTCCTTTTGATTTCCTGTTTCTGGGTGATAACTCTCAAATATTAGTCATGATAGCCTCAGAACATGTGGATAGGGAGAAAGGAGGCAAGTAAGTGGTTGAATTATTCAAAGACTTGCAATTTATGATCTCTTGCAGCATATATGGGGCCTTGGATGCTTCCTCCCAGCTCTTTGGTTCTTGTAGGACCTCTAGGAGTACAGGAAGCTGGGGAATTAGTAACAAGGCTTTGCTGTGTGCTTTGAAAGGAAACAGGTCTGGTTTCTCTTTTGAGCTGAGCAAATGTCAGACAACACTCGGCTCTCTACTTAACTGCTTCAGAAATAGATTTCTCTATGCTATAAGTAAGTGATGAATTTTAAATTCTTCTGAAACAAATATCACACTCTATTTTAACTAACTAGAATTTAAATAAAAACTTGAAACATTAAAAAAAAAAGATTTCTCTGTGTGGTACTCAGGTTTCTACATTCAGGTATGGCAGCCCATCACTGGGGCACATTTGAAAGTGCTTTATACCTATATAATGAAATTGGGTTTTCTCATGCTCTCTTCAGAAAGAGAGGCCTGAGGTTATTCAAAGGGATCTATTGAGTTGCCATCCTTGGGAAATGTTATAGTTTGTTTCCTAGCAGATTTCAGAGTCCTTAGAGGATAGAAAATGAGAGAAAAAGTTTTATGCATGGGGAAAGTGATGTGGGAAACTTCAGGCATGGGCTTGGGAAGACAGACACAGATAACATGCTGTATTGGGGTCTTGATTTCCAGATGGTAAGGTTGTGTGAAGAACTGAAAGTATCCTTACCTTCACATTCTGTATAGTTTACCTTCCAGTAGCTCTGGATAGGCCATAATTATGGCTATGGAATCTTAGCCCAAGGATTGGCCTAATCTATGCCTCAGCTTATTTTACTTGTTTTTTTTTTTCTGTTCTATACAGATTCATGAAGGTAGCAGGAAGCACAGTGGACGCAGTTACCTGGCAACAGTAGGTATTCACCATTTTTGCTTTTATTATAGCTACTATGAAATGAAAGAGAATTGTTCCAAACTTTATAGCTGACATCTAAGAGAAAAAGCTAAAACTAACTCCAAAGCTGTTCTTGTGATGCATAATAACTCATATAATTTTGTTTTGTTGTTTAAAAAAAAACAGAAAACAATGAAAACTCAGCTATTATGTATACTTTTAAATTATTCTGTCATCAGTGAACAGGTAACGGGAATGTGAGCATTCCACCACTTACTCATAAGCTTTTCCTTGGGAATAAATTTCTCTACGAGAGGAAATAACTTTAATTACTCAATATATCATGTGAAAATAACAGCACTTCATTATAGTAATGGGAGTGGTCTTAATTAGTGCCAAGATTATAACTAATATGAAGCAATTTAAAAAAATGGAATATGAAGAGAATGAAGCATCCTCAAGAGAAGATAAACCCCGGTGTTCTTGGAAGAAGCTTATAGTGGCAAAGACCTGTTACCCTGAGAGTAGCTTAATTTGTAAAGGTAATGATCTGATACATAAATAAATTTTCTTAAAGTTTCCTTATGGTATTGGTGCTGGAATATCAGCATCTTACAATGTCTTACCAATTTTATACCAAAATCTTGCCCTTCCTTTTTGTAAGAAATCTATCCCATAGAATCTTCCAAGTCATCTTTCATCTAATGTGGTCCACACAGCTCAGTTATGTGCTCTTATTATGGGCCCCCATAGTTATCAACTATGACCACCTCTCTAAACTACTCTAACCCTGTCTGCCTATCTCGCTTACTTCTCTTTTCTAGCCTCCATTTTAAGTGGGTCATAGTATCTCTTGGGATTCATGACAGTTGTGAAAGAAGCAAGAGCAGTAGATGAAACCTTTATTAACTATCCCAAAAGGATTTTTAATTCTTGGCAATCAAAAACTTCAATCATAATGGAAAATATTTTATTATGCATTTATACTTAGTTTCTCTAAACATCAAGTTATAATGTTTCCAGAAATTCTTATCCTCCTTCAGTTTGTTTTGTGAGTCATGGATGGAGTAGGTCTAGGGATCTTATCATTCCCATGCTTACAACCCCTTGGTGCCTTCCCTTTGCTCTTAGACAAAAGGCCAAACTTTCTACTCTGGCCTATAAGGAAGGTACTTTGTGTTTGGCCTCTGCTACTTTATGATCACTTCTAGTGCCACCCTGACCTTACTCATTGTGTCCCATACTAGTGGTCTTTCACTTTTCAGAAAGTTCACATGCATGTCTGCCTCATGATCTCATTTTTTGTGTGGCTAATTCCTTCTCCTCTCTAAAGATTCAATTTACATGTTATCTCCTTTGAGAGACCTTCCCTAATGATCCTATCTAAAACACCCTCCCTTTAATTCTTTCTTAGCTCTGTTCTTTCCATGGTACTTCACGTAGCTTAAAATTACTTTACATAAATCATATTTTTTTTCTCCTAACTTGTCTTTGTAATTTGTGTTTTTCTATTCCACCACAATAGCACTTAGTTCAACAAGTGTTTATTTAGGCAATTGTTTACCGAGCCTTTACTATGGGGGAAAATAACAATGATGATAATAACATGGCAAGAACTGTTCCAAACCCTCTATGCATTACCATATCTGATTCTTACAACAACCAAAATGAGTTTAAGACTAGTTTCATCTCTTGCATAGCTTAAAGGAAGTTGTAGAGAATCTAAACGTTACACAGAAAGTGGTAGATTTTGGACTTAAAGTTGAGCCTATCACACTCCAAAGGCTATTCTCTTGTTACTACTTTGATAATAAGACACTGATTTTTTGCTGAAAATATTACATTCTACTAGAGCAAATCACATCCTCTTCAGTGTCTTTCATCAAAGGCTGTCTGGATAATGTAACATAAAGGCTGAAGCTTGAAGAATATAAAGTGTTTGTAAGGAGAAATAAAGAAATCAGTGTATGAAAATTATTGGGTAAGAATGTAAGGCTTGCTCAGTTATAATGACTCACAGGGAGGGATCAGAAAAAGGTTTTCTTCCATATTCAAACACTCTCCAAAGCACAAACGGAATAAAGTGAGCCCAGTCTTTTTTTTATAATGGAGAAATTCGATTTTTATAAATAAAATTTTTATTAGCTATTTTTAAAACATTGGCCACTTCTCAAGATAAATGTCATGTGTTTGCAAATACTCTAAAAATACCCCCCAAATCAGGCAAAGAGTTGTGTTTCTTTTGGCTCCAGGATCAGCACTCATTTGGGGACAAACAGTAGCACCTGGAATCTACCATTTGTTCCTTCCAGCTACATTTTTCAATCAAGACTTGGAATAGTCATGGAACAATTCCAGGAAATCCTGGCCAGGAGGATTCAGGCCAAATACCATGTTTCTCTAACCCTGAGAAATGCTGAGGTGAATTTCTTAATAATGTAAAGAAATCAAGAGTCATAGTCATAGTTAGAAAAAAAGAACACAGAATTTGTCAGTATATATCTATATATAGGTAGCCAAAAGAATCAATTCAGTGCTGGAATATTGAAATTGGAGCTTGGACAACAAGAACTCTGAGTCTGAAGTAATATATAGTTAGACTATTTTGATTTGAAAGTTCATACTCTTCTATTTTAAGGACCAAGATACATGACTTAATGATTGCTCCTGCCCAATTCATGCAGAAAACCCAGCAAGAGTTAGTGAGATGAGGTCCCAATTATAAAAGTAAGTAGTGCAGTAGTTTGTATCAGTTATCAATGATAAATCTGGATGAAAAAATATTACACACACACACACACACACACACACGAGAATGACCAAAAGGCAGCAAAAGCTAGAGAAAGTTATTCAATCCTTGAAAGAAGTGAATGATGCTAGTGAGATCTGTGGTTACTTAAGAATCTATCCAGTATGATAAGGCTAGAACTCAAACAAAATACATGGCTGTATATTAGTCTGAGGTCTCAGGATTCAGAAGGTAGAACTCTCAGAAAGAAGGAACTATGGGCAAAACACCAAATATGCAGATAAACTTCCTTCAAATTCTTGCCTCATCCCTGCAATGTGTATATTCAAGGGAGACCCCAAGGAGTCTGGTAGAAAATAACAGCTGGAAATCTGAAAAAGTTGAACAGCAATTTCAGCTGCTGTCTGTCACATGAGGGACAGAGATTGGAAAGTGAATTTCACAAATTTAGAGGGACTTCATAAACACCTTGTGCTTTCCATTGAAAACTGAGAGTTATGCCACAGGAATAAAGTCTTGTCCTGGGACTAAGGATTTGCCCTAAATCTAATGTATAACCGAAACAGATTCACCATAACAAAGTATAAACTGAAGCTCCACAAGAACGAGATGATCAGTCATTCATCCAACTTCCTGCTATATCCAAAACCTACATTCTTCTGTTTCTATAAAATATCATCCATTTACTTTGCAGTTTACAATTAAAAATTATTAGATATGTAGATAAACAGGAAAAGGTGACCATGAACAAAAGAATGAGCAATAAATAGAAGCCCTGAAATGACCTAGGTAATATAATTAGCTGACAAGAATTTTAAACAAGCTATTGTAAATATAATCAAATAATTAGGGGAAAATGTTTGTATTGAGTGGATACATAGGGAAAGATCAGCAGGGAAATGAAAACAACGTATATGTATATAAAAGAACTGAATGAAATTTTTAAAGAAAAAAGAAACAAAAAACTCACTGGTGCACTTAATAAGAAATTGGAAACTACAGAAAAAAAGGGTTAGTGAACTTTCATATAGATCATTAGAAATTATACAATTAAAGAACAGAGCAAAAATATTGGGAAGAAAATGTTCAAAGCTTCAGCAACCTTGACAATATCAAGATGTCTAATATGTGTGTAATTAGAGACCAGAAGGCAAGAAAGAGATAATAAAGCAGAAAATTTTTTTGAAGAAAGCAAGAGCTCCTCTCAAACTTGGTGAACCACATTAACTTATAGAACCAAGAACCTAAGAAAATACTAAAAAGGATAGGGGCTCCTGGGTGGCACAGTCAATTAAGCGTCTGACTCTTGGTTTCAGTTCAGGTCATGATCTCAGGGTCCTGAGCTTGAGCCCAGTGTTCTGAGATTAAGCCCTCATGCTCAGCACAGAATCTACTTGAGATTTTCTCTCTCTCCCTCTGGCCCTCCTGCTCATGCGTGCTTCTCTTTCTCTCTAAAAATCAATCAATCTGAGAAAAAGAAAGAAAGAAAAAGAAAGAAAGAAAGAAAGAAAGAAAGAAAGAAAGAAAGAAAGAAAGAAAAGAAAGAAGAAAGAAAACCCTAAGAAGAATAAATACAAGAATAAATACCTTGGCATGGCATAGTCAAACTCCTGAGAACAAAGGGTAAGGAAAAAATCTTCAAAATATTCATATAAAAATCATCCTTTATATACAGACAACAAAGACACAAATTATGGCTAATTTGACATCAGAATCAATGGAGAATAGAAGACAATGGAACAACATCTTTAAAGTGCTAAAGGAAAAAAAAAAAGTCAAGCCCGGATTCTATATCTAGCAAAAATATTCTTTAAGAATGAAAGTGAAATAAAGTTGTTTTTGATAAATGAAAGCCAATAGACTTGTGCTATAAGAAATTCTAAAACAAGTTCTTCATATAGAAAAATAGTAGTAACATCTGAAGGGAAACCTAGATTTCAAAAAATAATGAAACACATTAGAAATGGTAAATTTGTAGATAAACATAAAAGACTATTCTTCCTCTTTACTTCCTAAAAAACCAACTGTCTAATGCAAAAACACAACACTGTATCATGGGGTTTATAACATAGGTAGATGTAAAACCATATGGGAATCATACCACAAAGGAGAAGGAAAGGAGGAGGACCAAATGGAATTACACTGTTGTGAGGTTCTTTTACATGAAGTAATATAGTATTCATTCTAAGAAGAGTGCAATAAAAGTAAAGGTTCAAATTTTATTCCTAAAATTAAGGTTTCACTTGGAACTAAGGTTGCTGATCTAAAG